GAGAGAGAGAGAGAGAGAGAGAGAGAGAGGACTTAAAATTTTCATTTTACAATAAATCATCATCTTTTCCTTGCACAAAAGCCTAGAATCTTACCTGTAATAGTTCTGCCGCTTTTTTCACAATGACAGGGCTATAGAAGAAAATTTTGAGAAATTGGTGCTCCTTTGCATGATATCCATAGAACGGTCTGGAAAAAATAATAAAACTGTTATTACTCTTTTTCACTGCAACTGATATTCTGATGTGCAACAGAAATCTTGTTATGCATCATACTATAATAATCCTTATATGTAATGTATCAATTCATATAGAAAGTATTAAGAAAAAAAAATCTTAACTTGTTATCCCATATTGTAACTAATCAACAAAACAATGCCTATATTTGACCTAAAATACTTACATTCCTGACACAGGCTGCACTTTATAGACATGTTGAGCATTTGAATTTGCATTTCCCAAAGCAATGTTAAGTGCCTTATCCAAAGCTGCTGCCAGAATGTATGGCAGTCGAGAAAGAGATTCTGCACCATCGTACGGAATAAGAATATATGGAAAAACTCCATGTACGTGTAAGCATGCCTTCTGGCCTGTAGAAAGAATAAGAGAAATATGTGATCTTGGATTGAATCCTTCATGACATTTTTATATTTGGTTCTTTATACATAAAAAAATTATAATAATAATTCCACCAGCTAACTTTTCCAAAAGAAACTCACCTGCTGGCGTAGCACCAAAGATGCGCAAGACAGGAACACGCTTTACTGGTGCCCCGCGGAAGGTAGAATACTGTGGATCAAGACCATTGACAGGAGTCCCCTGATAGTGGTCCACTGTTACTATACGCAAGGAAAACATCCTTATCCTGGCCACAAAATGTGTGTTGATATCATTATTGACACTATCTTATCTGAAAGTAAAATATTCTAAAATTAGGGGAAAAAATTCCTTTTTTCTCTTTTTTTTTTTGCAAATAAATATGCTTTGAATAATTAAATAAAAGTAATAACTATTGACAAAGAATGTTCACATACATTTACTCCTTAACCCTTAGGAGAGATGTACCCTAAACCAAACAGGAAAAAAAAAAAAAATGATGCAGTGATAGATGTGTTGTAAATGCACCTGTCCATTCTTTATGTTGTAAAATATGCAGTATATAAAACAGTGAGCAGTAAACATATACCTCTTTCATTTTATCTTATACTGAAAGCCCTATCTGATTTTTCCCTTACATAGAAAGTGTTCTCTTTTAACATTTTGTTTCTAACATTAAAATTCATAACACTTATTCATGGAAATCTCACAAATGTAATTATTCTAGATTCCGTAATGATAGTTACATGTTGAATCACTGCATTCACAGTTGTGCTATGCCTGTGGGTTCACTGTTATAAAGGAAAAATTCAAAAGAGAAATGATGATAAGAAAACGTTGCAGAACACACTAAAAATCCTCAATTTAACACAGCATCCGGTGGTGGTTGTAATAAAAGTATGAATGGGAACAAACATCATCAACCTTTATCAAATCTAACAAATAACACTGGTAATTATCTACAATAGAAACACACATAGACAAAACCAAGGAAGAGAAAACAATAAAAAAACACTATTAGGTAAAAAAAATAATAATATGGCTAAAAAAGGATAAAACACAATATCGTTTATCACAAATTCCATGAATCTACGTTCTGGCAAGGACAAACAAACTTCTATAATGTACATTCTAGAAAGATAGAGCCTGACAATTTATTAATAAATATGGAATTTGTCCACATTCCATTTTGCTCAATATACATGGGAAGGTTAGTTGGCCTTTGCTGAAACACAGAAACCACAGTATCAATTACTTCTGTCCTGTCAGAAAATTGTCTAAATTGGTAAATGAAAAAATGAACCTGCCATATACTCATTTTATACTGTCCCATATATTGTAAAAAAATATAGATAGATCAATAAGCAAATGAAAATCACCTCTTGCTTTTATAAATATTTAAAAATCCTAGGCCAGACAATATCTATATAATAACAAGAAGCTAACATTACTGACAATGCAAGTTTATAATCTATGATATTCATCATCATTAAGCAGTTACTCTAATAATAATTCCAACAGTATTATATAAATCCTATGACACTTACAATTTCATTTCATATACCTGATGATAGTATTAGTATTAGTAAGGACAAGAGGAAAAATGCAGATGAATATCAAGCCTTCCTTATCAATATAATTACATAATCTTCCAACCTCTTTCATATCCTATCTAAGGCACGTTCTCACCTACATAACAGCTTATAGAATCATGCACTAGTTTTGTAATTTCATTTTGCGGCCTATGAATCTACAAAGGCCATAATTGCTAGTCTATGGTATCATACTTCCCTGGAGTTGTCTGCCAGACTATAAATGTGCATTCTTTTAACCCAATGTCGACAGGAAAATGGTGCGTTCCCTCTGGCAATGCTAGGTTAAATGTTTCTGCACATAGATGGCTCTGCCAATGCTTAACCACAAAGGAGTTAATTAGTAGATCTTGCGCCTCACTTTTCCTTGAAAGAGCGGGTAAACTTTTTTTTACTAATGCTATCAGTATTGATACTTCTATTTTTGTTATAAACATTATAATTACTATATTGTTACCAACATTATTAATAGCAGTACTATTATAAAATATTATTGAAAACCAAGTAAAAGGGTAAACAGGCGAGACAGGGAGTCTGCATAATTGGCTCATTGGTGACTTCATACTTGTGGAGCCATCTATATGTAAAAACAATTACTAAATTCAACACACACAATGGGCAATGGCATGTACGTACATGTCACGCCTGGTGGCTTGGGGTTAACTCACTCTCTGATGGATGGTTGCTCAAAAACTGCATCCTATTGATCAAATAGCACTGTCCAGAGACCAGCGCTTATTGATTATATTAATTTTATCTCAGACACTGGTCTTGTCTTTGATACGATTAGGGATATAAAAGGCTTTTTACCAACTAGATGATATGTGAATAATGTATGCATAATGACACAGCCCTTCAGGCATGTAGAACTAATGTTTGACTAATAGTCCTTTACATAAATATAAGCATAGCCAGTTGGATAGATGCGGTAGCATCTTACCCTGGCTTTTTACAGGGCATGTACACTGTTCTGTAAATAAATATTATCAAATCAAATCAAATCTCTAATGGATGGAATGGAGTCATAATCTTGGAGACAATTAATTACCATAATAATTAAAAGGACAGCAAGACATGTGATAGAAATACAACAAATGCAATATCAAAGAGCTTGAATCCAATATATCCTTAATCAAAAAAGAAAAAAAGAAAAATATCATAAAGATAGGTAGATAAATTATTACTTATGAAATATTTACATTACATGTGGGATTGTTATGTCTACACATGCTAGCCGGCAAGGTCTTAGAAAATAATGATGTAGCATTTATTTCCTTCCTGGCAACATCCAGTGATTGTGCATGCTATGCAAAACAAATATTGCTGCTGCAGCATGATATGTAAGTTGAACTACAGATGTAAACAAACTATATAACAGTATATATTTAAGATATTCAAAAATATATCCTCTTTTTCTCTTTTTTACATATTTCAAAGTCAAATTTAATATGAAGATTTTATATGGAGGAAATAAGTAAACAACTGACAGAAATGAAATAAAAACATTTCACTAGAGAGGCCAGTGAGATCAGAACATAATCCCTGCTGAGTATGAGGTGTGAATGCTAAACTTTAAATGATTTTCACCTCATTCACACTATGGCTTAATGAATGGCAAGAGTTCATTCTGACATTACTTGAAAACAGCAATGAAAAAGAATATGGAATTTTACAAAAAAGAGGACAATCAATGTAATGTTGAAAACTAATACTCCTCTTGCCTGGCTAACTTACCTATCTTTACTTATACCTTTTCCAACTATTATATCCTGTGAACTCACTCAACTTAGATACAAAACAAAGGACCAATCGCATTCACATTTATCCAAATAAACTATCAACCTACTTATGCTAAAGGTCTAGAATTCGTTTATTAACCATTGCAATTACTTAAGAATTGTCTATATGTGCAGGACTGGTGCTAAGAAACATTTAAATAACTTATCAGTCATATTTAGAGACAAATCAATATCTTAACTTCAGAATAACACAGTTCCACAGAAAATTTGGGTAAAATTGTATAGCATGTATACCTTCCTTTTCTCAAAAAACAGCAAATTATTACATTTCTATATATTTCTTGACTCAATATTGCCATCAGAAAAAATAACACTCCTATGACACTTAATCTACACTCTCTCACAAATACACTCCCTTGCAGTGGACAATTCTTTTTTTGTTTTTGTTTTTTTGTATAACATAGCAGGTGTGCTAAAATTTACCATATCAAAAAGCAAAGAATAAATCTTTTTATACTTGTGTCTGTCTTTTGTGTGTTTGAGGTGTTAACCAAGAAGTGAGAGAGGTTACCATAAATTCAAGAAATAAGAGAAACAGTTATCAAATCCTCAAGAAACTTGGCAAAGATAAAAATTGGGGGTTGAAATGACACTACTTATTAGAAAATTTCATTCCCATGCATTGTTTTTCTCTATACAGAGAAATAACAGTGCACGAGGTCAATTTGATTATCGTCTATACCACTTTATATAGGCTATGCTATGCTTTTGCTATCAAATTCAACATTTCATTCTTACTGTGTTTGGGCACTGCACAAAATACTTAGTATAAATACAGTACTTACATCAAAAGTGGTGAATTTAGTTCTTGTTAAACACCCATTCTTCTGATATATTTCATCAGAATCAATATATCTTAAGTACCATACTACGGTTCTTTTTCCATCGTATTTACAGAGCGTATAAAATAAACAATAGAAAGCTTGCTATTATTTCAAATATCATGAACATTAAAAATAACACATTAACAAGTTCAAGAATAACTCCCTCTTAAACATGAAAAGTAGGTTCTTCACTAATGTTATCACTGTATAAAAAAAATCACTTGCATTCAAGTATTTAATGTAAACATTTAAGGCAAGAATCTTAAGACTGTGTTTACCTATATGTTTGTTTTCATTGCATAATACTTACAAAACCAAAATGAAAATTCATGTAAATCTGCAGCAATAAAATGCATCAGCCTTGATTTCTTTTCTATCAATTTCCACAAATAAGGAAAGATTGAATCAATATTCCCCCAAAATCCAATCAGACATCCTAAAGCACAAAGCACACTAACCGTGGCTGCACTAACGTTTGTCCATGCTTAATGATAAGGAAATGCACTGGCAAATGATACTTAAATAATAGTAATAACACTGTAATAACACTTCTGCCCGAGGGGGTTCCGAGTAGGCCTACCGTGGTCTGTCTTCCTTTCTCATCCCTCACACTTATTACGTGTCTCAGCACCCTTAAATCACTCATCACAGTCTTAAATGCCGTGCACCATCGAATTATCGGCCGAAATTAGGCCAAATATGTGACTACGTGTTACTCTGTGTGATTTAAACATTCCGATCCAGGTGACAGCCAGGAAACCCTTACTAAAAACACTTTTTTCCGCCCTTCTCACACTCACAAGAGATCTCTGGGATATTCCATCACTCGCCGCATACCTTCTTAGGAACACCAGTTGAATAAAATAGCTCTCATGTGTTGAAATTATGCCACTGCACTAGAAAATGTGTTTACGTTGGTCTTGTTTCATGTCTTGTTTTCTTCTCGCTACCTTTACCTACACGAGTGCCAACCATGGATAAACTTTCCTTTTCCAAAATTTTGACAATGTGCTCGATGGCTTTCATCCCCAGGTGATATTCCAAGGCATAAAAGAAAGTATCTAATATTTTCATTTGTGTTAATTCTGTCTGATTTGTGTTATGTACATATCAAATTGCGCAGTAATCATTACTCTACTATTGGCACGCCTGATCCCTTACGAAAATCAGCTGAGCGGGAAAGTAAATTTTATAAATGTTATAATTCTTAGAAATTTTATTTCATATAAATTAGATTTACACCAAATTACGATATATGATTATGATATACACTACAAAACATATTTGGGTGATGATCAAATGCAGAGAGATGTTTTAGAGGGTGGAATGCGGTATTTTCTAGCTCTTAAACAGATCGTTTATCAAATGTGGGTAATTCATAATATTTCAGTAAAACCAACAGTTTCTAACTATGCCAATAAAAGACTACCAAACACGAATTCAGGCGCAGAACTTATCCGGTCAAAACTAACATACATCCTACATAGAAACAATAAAATCAAAATAAGTTTGAAATAACCAACATAATCAATGCACAGCCCCATGAACCCAAACCTAATTAAACCCATAAAAATCTTGTTCACGAATAAATGATAAACATGTAATAAACATTCTGATTAAGCATCAAAAGCACACAATATGTCGCTAATGATCCCTGACTCAAGCAATGGCTATATATAGTGTTTAGCGTGGCAGACCCGAGAACGCTCCCTATGAACTGGCAGGCATTTCGCACTCATATATTTCTGATAAATGATGGTTTTGGATGTGTTTTTCATATGGCTGTGTGTTCGTGTGTGAAAATGAGATATGTAGGGGGCGGGGGATAAAGGAGGAGGGAGAAAGAGTGGGAGACAGGAAGTGTGGGCCGATACGAGGGATGGAAGGAGAGAAGAGGGGAGAGAGGGAGAGGATGTGAGAGGACTCAGGGGGTAGAGAAAATGAGACTAGGGAGAGAGAGAGAGAGAGAGAGAGAGAGAGNTCAAGCGAACACAGATTTCCAAAAATTGGCGGTTTTATTTCCCTTTTTCTCTCTCTCGTTTGGTCGTCGGAATCGTAAAATGACCACGGAGAACGGGTTGGTTTTAAAAGTGAGGGATAAAAAGATGGGAAGAAATGGTGGAGAGAGAGAAAGCAAGAGAGAGAGAGAGGAGAGAGAGAGAGAGAGAGAGAGAGAGAGAGAGAGAGAGAAGAGAGAGAGAGAGAGAGAGAGAGAGAGAGAGAAGGGGAGGGGGGTGGGGGGCGCGGGAGGGTACCGAAGAGCGCTAGAGAGGCCGCGTGTTTCTCCTCTCGTAGCTGTGGTGACACTGAGCTCTTTACACCCTTGCGGGCTTTGCCCTGCTCACTGAAATTATTCTTCCTCTTGTCCCCCCTTATTTTACTCTCTCTCCCTCTCCCTCTCTCTCTCTCTCTCTCTCTCCTCTCTCTCCTCTCGTCCTCTCTCTCTTCTCTCTCCTCTCCCTCTCTCTCTCTCCTCTCTCTCTCTCTTCTCTTTCCTCTCTCTCCTCTTCTCTCTCATATACTTCTATCTATCTCTCTTATTTTCTCCTCATCCATCTGTCATTTCCTTATCATCATCTGACCACGCTGCCGCCTGATATCTGCTAAATCTAACCCCTTCTCCGCATTATCTCATTTCAGCAGCTAATGTTAAAAAAATGAGCACCACAAACAACTTCTTTTGACCTTCTTCCAAATAACCAAAAATAAAGTGCCTTTCCTGTAAACACAATAAGTGAGACTACTATGAGTTTTCTTGTAAAAAAAAAAGAAAAAAAGAGAAATAAAGAAAAAAATAGAAAAAGAGAAAAAAGACTCGACTCTCCTGTAAATGTTACAATTGGGTTTACTTTTATCAGGTAGGACAGGTTGTTGCGGTAGGCCTTGTTCGCCCGTTAGTGTTTTTCCTGGAGAAGAGAGAGAGAGAGAGAGAGAGAGAGAGAGAGAGGACGAAGAGAGGAAGAGAGAGAGAGAGAGAGAGAGAGAGAGAGAGAGAGAGAGAGAGAGAGAGAGAAGAGAAGAAGAGAGAGAGAGAGAGAAAGGAGAGAGAGGGAGGGAAGAGGAGAGGGAGGGAGAAGGAGAGAGAGAGAGAGAGAGAAAAGAGAGAGAGAGAGAAGAGAAGAAGAGAGAGAGGGAGAGGGAGAGGGAGAGGGAGAGGAGAGAGAGAGAGAAGAGAAGAGAGAGAGAGAGAGGAGAGAGAGAGAGAGAGAGCAAGAGAGAGAGAGAGAGAGAAGAGAGAGGGAGGGAGGGAGGGAGGGAGAGGGAGAGGGAGATGGAGAAGAGAGAAAGAGAGAGATGAATGGAGTGTAGGTGTGCGTGTGTGAAAGAAAGGGAGAGAGAGGCAAACAGAGTTACTATAACGATATCTACATTATTTTCTTCTGAGAGAAAAAAGCGAAAGAGAGAAACTATTAAAAAAAAAACAAAAAAAAAAACAGCGCACATCCTTTATTACGAAAGAAAGAGAGAAAGAAGAGTAGAGGTGTGTCTTTTATCTCCCAAATCTGTTGAAAGAAATTCCCGTTGTATAGGAAACTTCTTGTGCAATATCAACAAAGATCTTACAATCAAACATCAATTTATCGCGCACCAAAGACAGCAGGAAACGAGGAAATTGCGACCCAATACTCATCTTGTAAACATTATCGTTCTGTTGCCGAATCTGGGTTGCAAAAGAATTGTGGTAAATAGAACAGAAAAGGAAATGAAACGGGAGGAGGAAGATGGCGTAAGGATAAGATGAGATAAGAAGAAGTAGGTGAACAAAAGAACAAAAAATAAAGGGAGGTAATGGAAGTAAAGAGAAAAAGTAGGGAATCTAATAAAGAAAAAAAGTTCTGTTGCAGATCTGGAGAAAAAGAATTGTGGTAAATAGAACAGAAAAGGAAATGAAACGGGAGGAGGAAGATGGCGTAAGGATAAGATGAGATAAGAAGAAGAAGGTGAGCAAAAGAAACAAAAAATAAAGGGAAGGTATGGAAGTAAAGGGAAAAAGTAGGGAATCTAATAAAGAAAAAAGGGTTCTAAAAAAGGTGAACAAATAGAGAGGGACGAAAAGAGGGAGTAAGAAAAATGAGAAAGAAGAAGCGGGTGAAGACGATAACGGGTTGATTAAAGAAGATCAATCAGAAAATAAAGAGAAGAGAAGAAGGACATAAAGATAAGAAAGGAAGATATGATTGAAGAAGACATAAAATGAGAAATCAGACAAGGGAAAGGAGGAAGGAAAAAAAGTCTAAATTAAAACGAGGATAAAGAAAAACGGGAGAAGAAAAAGAATAAGTAGAATAAGAAAGGAAAGGGAAACGCAATAAAACTGAGAAATGCGAAAGTAAACTACGATTAAAAAAAGGAAAAAAAAAGGAAAATAGAAGATAAAAAGAAAGATAAGAACATGAGAGAAAAACTGTTCATCATGAAAATTAATGATAAAAACTGCGGAAATTAATATATCAAACCAACACAGAAGTAAAAAAAAAAAAAAAAAAAAAAAAAAAAAAAAAAAAAAACTATAAATCCTCTAATATTGACAATCGGGATCTGTTTAGACAAAATAAAACGAAACTAATATAAAGAAAATATGAAAATAGAAGGAAGAAACAGAAGAAAAAAAGGAAGAAGGACACAAAAGAAATGAAATGAAAAAGAGGACGAAAACATTTTTAAAAAATTAGTAGATAAAGAAGGAAGAGGTGGAGGAGAACGAGAAGAAGAGGAATAACAATAATAGTAAGAAGAAACAGTATTAGGAAGAGATGCAAAGAAATAGATGAAAAAAAAACAAGGCAAGGAAGCCAAATACACAAGAAGATGTCAATGAAGAAGAAAAAGAAGACAGGGAGAAGGAGGAAAGAGAGAAAAGGCGATATGAAGGAAGAGAAAGAATTGCAAAAGGAGGAAGAGGTAGATGAAGGAGAAGGCTGAGTAGGGGAATGCAGAAAATGAAAAACATGAATAACAAGAAAAAAAGGAGAGGAAAAATGAGAGAGAGAAAAAAGAAATTCAGTAGGGATCATAAAAGAATATGTCAAATCTTACCTCGTCTTTCGTCTCAGAATTCAATCTACAGTAATGGATGAGAGAAAGAGAGTGAGAGGGGGGGGAGGGAGAGGGAGTAAAGGGGGGAAGAGAGAGAGGGGGGAGGAGAAGAGAGAGAAAAAAGATAGAGGGAGATAGAGTATCGGAAGGATTAGAGAGCGAGAGAGGGAGAGAGGGAGGGAGGGAGAGGGAGAGAGAGAGGAGGGAAGAGAGAGAGGAGGGGGTGGAGGGAGAGTAAAGAAAAAAAAGATAGAGGAGAGAGAGAAAGAGAATATGAGAGAGAAGAAAGAGGAGAAATAAAGAGAGAGATAAAGAGATTAGAGGAGAGATGAGTGAGAGAGAGAAGGAGAAAAGGGAGAGAGGAGAAGAGAGAGAGGGGAGGAGGGGGGGGATAACGGAAGAGAGAGAGGGAGGGTGGGAGAGAGAAAAAAAATAGACTGAGAGAGGAGAAAGGGGAAGAGGAAAAAGGGAGAAAGGAGAGAGAGAGAAAGAAGAGAAGAAAGTGTGAGAAAGGAGAGAGAGAGAAGAGAGAGAGAGAGAGAGAGAGAGAGGAGAGAGAGAGAGAGAGAGAGAGGAGAAGAGAGAGAGAGAGAGAGAGAGAGAGAGACAGAGAGAGAGAGAGAGAGAGAGAGAGGGAGAGAGAGGGAGTAGAAGAGAGAGAGAGAGAGAGAGAAAGAGAGAGAGAGAAAGAGAGAGAAGAGAAAGACGAGAGAAGAGAAGAGAGAGAGAGAGAGAGAGAAAGGAAAAGAGAAGAGAAACATCTAGACAGAGAAATATCCACGGAGAGAAATACCAGAGAAAGAAAGCACGAAGGAAACAGCAAAGAAAGTCAGCAAATCTAAGAAAGAAAAAGAGAGAAAAACGAAAAGAGAGAAATAAAACAAGGCGAAGCGAGGAAGAGCAGA